TTTGCCTCACCAGCCACATCTAAATTTGTTGCTCTTTTTTTTCCTCTAGACTTGAACTTCGGAGCTCCTCTGGTCCAGCTCCAGGCCCTTTTTCTGTACTTCTCCGGTGATGTCAGTCATTGACATGCCATACTCTGAGTTACGTAAAGTCCACAACTAGTGCCTGTGCTGTTTCTAGTCCAGGGCTGTCCTCTGCTCTAGGTCTGCAAATTCATTTGTGTACTGGCTTTTCTGCTTGAGTGAGCACCTCAAGGGTGTTATTTTTATTGTAAACCTCTTGACCCCTTCACTCTGTCTTTTCCTTTCCAAGTTGTCTTGGTTTTTGAAAATGGTACCATCTCCCCTTGCCCTTGAGCCTAAAACCTTCAATTCCCACGTCGTCTGGAAATTTCTGTGTTTGCAGCCCACCGCCCTGGTCCAGCCACTGTCGTCGCCTATCCCGATCCCCTCAACACCCTTCCCATGCCTCCCCACCTCCCTTTTCCTCTTGGGATCCATTTTGACCTACAGCAGCCAGAGTGATCTTTTAAGATGTACACCTTAGAGCATGTTATTCCCTTGTTCGATATTTCAGTGGTTTCCAAGGGTTTTTAAAAATCAGATTTCTACTGTGACTTGGAAGATCCTGCAAGGTCTAGCCCCTTGCTGTCATTGCACTCTCTTGGCTTACTTGATTTGGGTGTTGTTCAGGTCCTCTAGAGCCAGGCCGTGCCTACCTGAAGGTGTTTGCATTTGCTCTCCTCACCTGAATCTCACGAGCGTATTGATGCAGGACCTGGAGTATACCTCCCACTCCTTTCCTGGTGTCATTTTGCAGTGCTATATGATAGAGCCATAGACTCCCAATGCCTCCTGTGGTCTTCTATTTGTAGCAGCCCTCTGCTTTTGAGCAGCAGCAAGGAGAGTGTTACCCAGTGTCTGTGTGGGTTTTATATTTGGGCTCAGATAAAAGAATTGATATTCATTATTATGAGGGAATCCTTGGTGTGGCAGACATTGTCTCCTGAGAGTCCACTGGGCTGTGTTGTCTTGAGGGCAAGGATAGTGTCTCACCCTAGACACATTAATTGAACAATTGGTGCAGGAAGAAAGAGACAACCTCTCTACATTAAAAAAAAAAGTGCTAACTCTTGTGTTTAATCTCCACAGGGTTTGGGGGCTCAGGAGCAAGGAGCCACAGATCATATTAAAGTTAAAGTTAAAAATAACCACCTGGGACTTGGAGCTACCATCAATAATGAAGTGAGCAGGGGTGTGCCTTTGGGGTTCTCTTTGCATAATGGACTTTAGTTTTTTAAACATGAAACTTCTAATCCAGTCCAGTTGGTTGAACACTTCCAGCTGTTCGTGTGTAGTCTCTCTGTTTTGGGCAAGGGAAGGGCCCCTGGCTGGCCTGGCCTTCCATCCTGGGCCATGCCCTCCACCACCATGCTTCCTCCTCCTCGTGGGGTCATTTATTTGCTTATGCTAAGAGATCCAAATGAGTTGTATTGATCAACTTTGTAGAAAGTCTTCATTTTATAGAAATCTTCTTTGTAGGAGAGAGAGGATTTTCTGTCTGCCCTTGTGTTCTAATATTAGTTTATATTGTTAAAAGTTGGCATTCAGTTTAGGAAGTTGTGCTAGAAAGTCATGTTCTTTTTCTTTCTCAGTCTTCTGACTGCTGGTGCTCAGCAGCTAAGTGGACTCACATTTTTCCTACGTTGGCACTGTGACGAAAACCAGCAGCTGCCATGCCTTTCACCTCAGTGTCTTTGTTTCCTTTAGAAAATATCTTAAGGAAACTTTCTTTCTAAATTCTTGTGGCCAACAGAATCTGGGAGAAAATTAGGAGAATGACTTTAATTAGGTAAACAATTATTTTGATTACTTCAATAGCTCTGAGTAGTAGATTAGAACATCTAAAATTTTCAGCCACTTAAGAGTGAGTCTGTGTAAGGTTGTGTTTTGTTTGTTTTTGTTTTTTGTTTTTTTTTTTTTTGGAGGGGGAGAAGTACCAGGGATTGAACTCAGGGGCATTCCTGCACTGAGGCACATCCCTAGCCCTGTTTTGTATTTTATTTAGGACAGGGTCTCACTGAGTTGCTTAGGACTCATTGTTGCTCATAGCCCTCCTGTCTCAGCCTCCTAAGCTGCTGGGCTTATAGGCGTGCGCCACACGCCTGGTTGTAAGGTTGATTCTGAATGTAGTTTTGAGAGACAGATAACATGGTCTACTTATTTTCTCAGGAGAAGCATTGCCTAGTAACCCCAGTCAATATGCCTTAACTTTAAGCATTCTTAAAAAGGAATGCTTAGGAAGGCATGGGAGGCAAATCCTACATTGGAACCCTGCTTCCCAGTGGCTTATATTCTTTTGGAGCTCTTCATTCTCTTATTACAAATGTGTACTCATTGATTCAGGGGACTTTGGTATTCAGAAAATACCAAATCCTACATTGGAACCCTGCTTCCCAGTGGCTTATATTCTTTTGGAGCTCTTCATTCTCTTATTACAAATGGGTACTCATTGATTCAAGAGACTTGAAGTCCTTCCTTTCTCTTTTCCCAGAGTTTTATAAAATCAAAGTCTGCATGTACAAGTAATCAGAATTGGGCAAAATATTATAGGCTCTGTTGGGTCAAGAGGAGGGCTTCTGTTTTCCTCACTGCTCTTGTCCTTTAAACTGCATAATTTCCCCTACTGGGGGAAAAATGGTAATTTTATTTTGCTTTATTTTAGTATTAAGTACACAGGTATTTGATATAATTCAACTTGATAAATCATTCACATGGAAATCAGGACTTGAGTTTCCAGAAATTTCTTAATATTGATCTAGATGAATAGCATTTCAAGTTTATATATTTCTTGAACCCATTGAAATTTGTCAAATGATATTTTGATGAAACATTTAAAATTTCGTATTAATTGCCAGATTCCCTTGCTTCTAAAATATTTCTTATTTGCCTCTCATACAACTTTTTGGTATTTTCAGGACAACTGGATTGCTCATCAGGATGATTTTAACCAGCTTCTGGCTGAACTGAACACTTGCCACGGGCAGGAAATAGCAGGTAGGGAACTTTAGGGTCGTTGACTTCCAGATTTATAGGAGGTGTCAATCTCAGTGTGAACGGTTCTTGTCAGTTCTTTAATGTAAGCATTATACATCTCAAAGTTAGTTGTGTGAAGTGATATAGATACTGGGTTCTGCTTATGTTGTTCTGGCGCTTTCCCTGAATGATCCTGTAGCCATCCACAAACACTTTTTCCCCCTTCAGAGTGTGAGAATGGCAAGATTAATCCATTCATTTTACATCTCAAATAGTAAAGTCAGCTTAAGGAGAAGCTTGAATACAAAGAAAAGATGTTTTTAAAATACAAGCAGAAAATACCAAATGAGACCATAAACAGCAGCTGACAGAGGCTTAATAGAAAAGCCTTTTCTATGTTGGTTCTGCCCTTGGTCATTTGCTTTACCTTGTAATTCACGTTAGAGGTTCGATTGCTCAGGTAAGTAACTTCTTCCACCAAATTCCTAGGCTCAAGCAGTCCCCTCACCTCAGTCTTTCGGGTAGCTGGGTTTGCAGGCATGCACTACCTGCCTGGCCGAGCATGAGTCGGCATCAGGCATCTTCAATAGCCAGTGAATACACCACAGGGCATGCTGCCACGATAGCCATTGGGAAAATGCACAATAAAGCCACAGTATGATGCCATCAAATACCCACTGGAACTAGTAAGACAATGGCAAGTCGCTGAAAATGTGGAGTAGGGGGATTCCCATGGTGTGTAGGCGGCTGTGAGCATTCGGATCAGTTGGGAATTATTTACAAAAGTTGAAGATATGTATGACCTCTTCATGCCTGCCTAGCAGATGCCTGTGCACTTGTCCTGGGAAACATGCACAAGAATTCTGATGACGTTATTTGAAGGATCCTGAAACTCGTAATAGCTCAAATGCTCACCAGTAGTAGAATGGATAAGTGCATTGCCACTTTTGTAAATTCAAAGAAATACATTAGAGTTATTAGAGTTTTATGCAAACATGTTGAACAGGGGTTGGCAAACATTTTCAGGGCCAGAGAAATTTTACAGACCACAAAAATTGCTCTGTCAAAACTACTCCACTAGGATATTGGAATGTGAAAGGCACAGTAGATAATATGTAAATGAAAGTGGCTTTCCCACAAAACTTTACTTACAGAAACAGGTGGCTGGCTGGGTTTGGCCAACAAGCTATAGTTTTGCCCTCTGGTGTTGAAGACTCATCCACTTAATGTTGACCAAAAGAAGATGAACAGAGGTTTATCCAGTGTGATTCTACTTCTATAACCACAAATAGCAGGCAAAACTCTGACATTAAGGTGCCATACTTGGTGGAAAATTATTTTAAAAACCAGAGTAAGTACTGCACTGTGGAGGTCATACTGCACATGTGATGTCCCTGGGAAGGGGCTCCTGCGGCATTGCCTTCTGGAATAGGGTCAGTGTCTTGCTGCTTGACCTAGCTGGCAGTTAGATACTTGGGAACATCACGCTCCTTTGGCAGCCCCTCTAAAAAAAGATGGTTAAAACAAAAATGGCAAAGGGGTGGGAGCAAGGATTAACACAAAAAAATGGGATAGTGATTATCCTTAGATGGTGCTTCTCACCTGGGAGCAATATAGCCACCCACAGGACATCTGGTGAGGTCTAGAGACTTTTTTTTTTGAGATGTAGTGTGAGGTCATTTATTTGTTGACTTTTTCTTCTTTTAAAGAATGAACTCCATTCAATGAATTTTCCTTTTAGAACTGCTTTCATAGTGTCCCAGAGATTTCGATATGTTTGCTGTATCTGTGTTCTCATAGAGACATTTTTTAATGTCCCAACCAACAAGATGTTATTGGCATCTCCTAGAAAAAGGCTGGAGCTGTAGCTAAACATCTTACAGAGCATAAGACAGCTGTCCCTTCCTACCATAGACGGACAATTAATTCCTGTGCTCAAATGTCAGTAGTGCAGAAGTTGAAACTCTGAACCAGGAAAAAGCAGCAGAAAATGAGAAGGCACATGGGTGCTGGATGCTTCTGGATACTTTCTAGTGCTGAGTAGTTGCAAAAGGGTTTGCTTTATTTGACTATACAGGTAAGTATATCTGCATTTTATTGTGTGTTATCTGGTTACCTTGAGACCCATGATAAAATTTCTGGATCTCTTTTTGGTAGACTTCAGGTGAGATGTAGCCTGTGTAGTTGATGTTACAAGGCTATAATGAGAGTTACCCAGAGTTAACAGGCCCAGCAGTTTAAATATCAGGGATCAACTTGTACCTTAATGAATATCCAGTTATGTATAAATGAGAGTCACTTTTCCTAAACAAGTTTGGTGTTATGACTTGGGTGTCAGACTTGAAGTGTCCTTGCCATCACTGTACCCACAGAAGTGAAGACCTCTGTGCCTGGGATTCTTTTCTCAGAGGCATCCACATGCTATCCTTCAACAGGGAAAGAGTCACATTTGAACTTTAGTATTGTAACTTTTTTACTTAGTACTTGAGAATACTCTAACTTTTCAGGCCAAAGGAATCCAAGAAATTATCTCATCCAAGATCCCATAAAGAAAGGATCAATGAGGTTCAGTTTTATGGGGAGGGAGCAGAGAAAGCAGATTTTTCAGCAGTTTGCTTTTGAACTTTTATGGTGATAGCTGGTGAGTGAGTTTTTCTACTGATGTTTTCAAGATTACTGCATTCTCAGAGAGGGATGCCATTGAAGTAGTTCTGGGAACCCTGACTTAGGTGTTCCTTATCCTGCACGGATGGTTGGGGCTCAGCATGATGACTGTAGTGGCCCTTCCTGGCATGTCCCAGGAAGTGCAGATGGGGGGCTGTTTCAAGGGACCCACTGGAGCCCCTTGTTATTGTCAGGAAGGCTGTGAGTGTTTCACAGATTTCAAGAGTGGTGCCTTGTCTTCTCATAGCCTCCTTCACAGGTTCATCTGTATAGGGTTTATTTTCCCTTTCTGTCTGAAACCTGGAAGTATTTGACATAATCTGAAAGCTGCTGAGTTATTAATGCGTAGGTAAGTTCCACTTCCAGACCACTAGAGGGGGCTGTAGCCTTATGGCAGTGATCCTGCGGTTAGCAGAGGTGCTTCCATCTCTCTCTAGCTCAGTACAGTCCAGACCAGGCCTTCCTATTGACCATCCCTGGGCTGACAAGATCCTTTACAATATTCCTTTCAGAGAAGCCTGTCCCAAGGAGCTGACCTGGAAAACTGACATGTTATATTTTCCTGCCATGTTGTCTTCAGTAAATACAGTGTCTTCATTCCAGTGATTGTTCTGGTCACAGTCACATACTACATATATTAAAGTTATAAATGACAGTAATCTCATAATATGTTTTTCTGCAATAATAATATTTTTATTCCCTTAAGATCACCACAAATTCATACCATTTGCCTTTTTACTAAGCAGACATTTTGTTCTGTCCTCTTATTCTTTAAAGTTTCATTTCTAAAAATTCTTTCGGATTTTCTTCCTCCTCTAGATGGCATCTTACATTGCTTTAGTGTTTTGCCACCAGAGAATTGACACTTGGTGTTACTGTTATCTAGACCACAGACCCTTTTCATTTCTTTCCATATTTTCAGGCTTCATCCATTTGCATGTGCAGTTTTATCCCAACTGTGGACCCAGGCAGCCCCACCATGATCAAGATGCAGAATCATCTATTCTGCATCTGTATAGTTTTGCAATTTGAGAATGTTATATAATACAGTAGGTACCCTTTTTAGATCGACCTTCCTCACTGGGCAGGTGCCCTGAGGTTCATCTAGGTTGATGTGTGCATTGATATCTCAGCCCTGTCTGTTGTAGAGTAACATTCCCCTGTGAGGATGTGCCAGAGTTGGCTCAGTGACTTTTGGGTTATAGCCAGTGTTTATAAGGTTAATATGAACACTCATGTATAGATCTTTATGTGTTGATTTCTTATCCCCAGAACTTTGTACATTTCTAGAGTGTAACCTTGCTTGATCCATAGTGCACAGTTGAAAAAAATAATCCAGATCATTTGATTAGAGCTCAAAAATAAATGATGGGGCTCCTACTAATATTTAAACATGACCATTGATTATATGAGGATGGATTACACAGATTTTAATGTAATGTTTTTCTTCTTTTTTAAAGACTCCTCAGACAATAAGGAAAAGAAATCTTTTAATCTTGAGGAAAAGTCCAAAATCTCTAAAAACCGGGTCCATTACATGAAATTCGCGAAAGGTAAGCTGCAGCCTTTCTTTATCTGTTGCAGTCTGTGCGGAAACTGAGTTTCTGGAAGCATTCTCAGCGTTTTGCCAGCAGAGGTGACTTGCTACGTGTGCCAAGTGGGGAAGTCTGGACCCCTTAAAATGCAGACTCGGCTTGTGGAGCAAAAGGCCCAGTTGAGGCTCCACACTAGGCATGTCCTGTGACAAAGCTGAAAACTGAAGTCAGCATGCTGCTTTGAGGAGAAAGGGGACATTATATGGCTAGGTCAGAAAATAATGTTATCATTCAACATTTTTAACTACATCTTAGTGATTGCAGAGCTGAATGTTGGTGTTAAACTCTTCCTAACGAGCCTGTTCAGAGAATCCTGCTCCACATGGAGATTTCGACTAAGAAAATTTGCATGCCCACGTTGACCCTTTTAACACTCCAGTCTCTCCATCCCATGGAGTGTTGATATAGGCATCCCAGGACCTTCGTGGAGATAGTGTTGGAGAACAGGGCAGTGATTCCTACCTTGCCATCACCATACACCCACCCCTGGCAGCTCCTTGGGTGCAGTTGCGCCATGTAGCCACCAGGTGGTGATCTTGTACTGGTGAGAAACCACTTACCTTGAGCTAATCAACTCCCCAGGTGTTACTCCTAGAACAGCCACAACACTTATTTTATGTAATATACTTAAAACATACCAAAAATGATGCAGATCGTGCCCTGATCCAGGCACCATTGGCTTGTTCTTCCCTGTGAGACTAGATGTGTGTGTCTATCTTGATATGCCAGGAAAAGCATTTCTTGCTTCAGACTTGGTGGCTGGACTGGGGAGGGTTTGCCCCCAGAACCCACCCTGAATAGCAGTGGGATATGGAATTCCCACTCCTCTAAACTGTTGATCGTGTTCTTGTTTGGGATGAGGACCCCAAAGGATAGAACTGTGTTTGGTTTAACTGAGAGGCTGTGGCAGAGCTGAGGGGATTTGGAGCTGAACAACTTCAGAGCTGTGAACAGGAGAAACTGAAACTTCCTCTCCCTCTCTCCCAGTAGGTCTATTTTGAGTTACTTTTGTGTCATCCCATTTTCCTCTCAGACAAAAACTTAGTTCTTAACTTGTGGTTGTGACTTCTGAGCAGGTTCTGTCCCCCCTTCAGCCTATTGCAGGCAGAAGATAGACTTTGTTGGCTCCTCTGTCATTTTGAGGAGACAGTAATGGTCCTTTCACACCCAACCCCTTAAATAGCCCTCTGTTTTTCATCAGATCCAATAGAAAAAAATAGAGATGCAGCGGAACGGCTGTTGAGCACAAGCTGTTGCACAGCACGAGAATGACACGGAGAGCACTCCGCAGCTGCTCTGTGGCATGGCAGCCTTTTAAGCGTGCCACCCTGCAGGTGGAGTCTTCCTTTGTCCTCTACTGCCTGGCCGCATGCCCGACTTCATCTGGAACAACTGCCCAGGAGAGGGTGTGCCTCTAGTCTGCTTTAATCTGCTCAGTGCCGGGAGTACCTGCCTTCTATTTGTAGCTAAGCTACTCCCGTGCTGGTGATCCTGTCAAAGGGCTCGGTGCATCGTGCCTTCATTTTCTCTTTTAAAATGAGGCTGGCATATTCATTAGCCTCATTTGAGGAGAAGGGAGACATTAGTATGCAGAGAAGAAAAGAGTTCAAGAAATGTTAGAGAGGTAGAAGAAGAGATTGAGTTGAGAAATGGAGGTCATGCAATCTGGGAATAAGTACAAAAGATGAGAAGGAAGCAGAAATCCAGGTAGTGAAGAAAGTGATTATTTACCCTCTGTCTGCACCATCCACAGTGAAAGCTTATTTTAAAGGTCTTTGGATCTCCCTCAGAGTCGTGTTGTCACTGGTGTGAGCGATAAGCTTCAGGCCCCCTTTGTCCGTTACTCTCTCAGACACATCATTGACCGTTTTCCTTCTTTCAGACTCATTTTCTTCTTGCAAAGCAAGGAAACGTCCATAAGCACTTATGAGTCTCTCGCCTAGGTTGTGTTTTATGATTTGTGGGTGAGGACCTCTTTTATGGAACTTGTGCTCTTTACGTCGTGAGTAAGAGGGAGTAAAATACCCACAGCTGTGCTCATGATGAAAGTGACTGACTCACTGAGTTGGAGTGCTCACATCGTGATTCCATGTATGGACCAGGAAGATGACTTTTTTATTTTTTTAAGAGTCTCAGGCCTTGAACTCAGCCTCTTACATAGCTGGGGTGACAGGCATTTTATATAGCTTGCTGAAGACTGGATGTAAACATTTTGCCATAGCAGGTGGTGTTGGAAATTTTGCTACTGCCTAAACATCAATGATATCATTTAAGTTTTTTTACATAATTCTTTTTCAAGCTCCAAATATATAATTTTGACTTGAAAAAATTTGTTATATAATTTTAAGTTACTTTCATCCATATTTGTTTAAAACCCAATTCCAGTGAAAAATATTTAGTGAGGCCACATCTGCCAAAGGGAAAATATCAATTTATGTAAAATTATTTTGAAGGCTTTTTCTCTCTCTGGTGAGAAGCTGACAGGAGAGCATTGCTCTCCCCCTCGGGTCAACATGGCGTGTGAGGGGCTGCATTAGCTGGAGGGGTGCACTCAGCACTACAACCTGGGCGACCTTCTCACCCGCTCTAGACACTTCTCTCTGTGGACACGCATTCCAGGTAGTTGGCAGATGCAAGCTGGCAGACTCTTGCTAAGGCGGATGCTGATAGTGAGGCCCCTGGTTCTCTCCTCTTATTCTTCGGAGTTTGAATACCGAGCAGCCCCACTTGGACCTTGTCAAGAAGGCGCTGTCTCCTGGTGGCTTGTTAGGGCTTGGTGTTCCACCCCACACTGTTCTTTCAGACCCCTGGCTTCCTCACGTTTCCTTTGTGGAAGTTGCCCTTGTTTTTTGCCCTGGGCTGTCAGTCCCCTATGTTGCATCAGAAAGAAAATCAAGTATAGTGTTAATGTATGCTTGGTTTCAGAATGCAAATGAGTTTTTAAATAATTTAAGCTACTACAGAAGCCTTATATATATTTTTTTTATTTAAAATAAATACATTTTTGAAACCTATGTTTGTTTGCCCTTGTGCCTTTTTACTCTGAACAAACTCTACTGTTTTAAACGTTTTTTGAGCCTCGGTTATAATTCACTTTTGTCCACAGCTACTGAGTTACTGCTTTTGCTCTTAAACTAAGTGGTTCCCAGTCATCATGACGCCTCCGTCCTGTTTTCTGTTGGAGCTGCCTTTGCTACTTTCGGACATCTTGATAGGGCACCCGTGTTTGGCTATGTAGTAATGTCCCTCCTTCCGTTCACCATCCTGCGTGTTTGGACAGCCTAATGACTATGATTATTAGGCAGACAGCTGAAGTGAGCCTTGGTGCGTGCTCCTCTGTCACGCTGACCATGCATGCATGGATGTTGTTACTCAGTTTATACATTCTTAAGAAACCTTTCTTCCCAGTTCGCAAAGTGCTGTGGCCGGTTGAAGGCTAACCAATAGATGAACCAAACCCAGATGGATAGCATGTGTTTCCTAGTCTATTCAGTTTATATTATTATATCCCATCTATGTATGATAGGTCAAAGTGCATAAATGCATTCTACTGTCATGCATAACTAATTGAAAAAATTAAAAAACAAATAAGAATCATAGATCTTTAAGGCACTATTTTTACCAGACCCATTTAATTTCTGCTCTTGTTAAATAATCTTGTATTTAAAGATGATAATAACTATTATGGTTAAGAACATTTTTAAAAATTTGAATTTAATCTTTAAAATTTTCATTCATTTAGTTAATAGCTTGAGATCCTGTGTCAATTATTAACTGAGCAGTGTAAATCTAAAATGTTTGAAGCTATATATGGAACAATATTTTAGTTATGCATTTCATAATCCTGTATAAGTAGCAGTGTCTTTGTAAAGTGACCCAGAAATGGCACCTTGAAGGCATACAGATTGTGGAGCCATTCTTGGAACTTGGGTCTCATGGCCGTGTGCTCCAAGTTGTTCCTATAAGGGTCCTGGTTCCAAGACGTTTACCTGGCTTTAAATTTAATTAATATTATTGAAGAGTTGTGGTCTGTGAAGTGAGACAGAATTTCATAGTTAAAAAAATTGTGTGTTTTCCAAAAACTGTTTTCCTTTCAGGATTTGCATAATTTGTGCTTGTGCTCCTCATGTTAGAGCGAATGGCCTTACTGAATAGCCGCGTGTTATTTTCCTAGGGAAGGATCTGTCGTCGAGGAGCAGCACGGATCTTGACTGCATTTTTGGGAAAAGGCAAAGCAAGAAGACTGCTGAGGTACTGAGTAGCCCAGTGGAGATGGCGTGTTTCCATGCAGCTTGATTTTCAAGTGGGGCTATTCTGTGTCTGTTACTAGTAGTACTTTTTAGACACAGTTCCTCTGCAAAAAAACAAAAACAGGAACCACTTTTAGCAACTTCATACAAAAGTTCAGTGTGATCCTTTTAATGATAGTAGCTGATTGCTAAGTTTTGTAAGGAATCTCCTAAGAGGATATGTGCTCTCTGGTCTTTGCTTTTGTTTTTTATTCTGAGGGGTGAGGACTAGGTTAAAGTCGGGAAGAATGCCTATTGCTGATGTAGTCAAAGGGGAAGGTACCTCCTGCCACCAAGAGCAGGGAGGCGTGTGCTGAGAGGTTTGCCGCTCTGTTCAGACTGCACCTTGTATTTGGAGTTTGCCGTGGGGAGGAAGAGCATCCCTCACATGCTCTACTACTGCCTTTCCATCTGGAGAGCATGTGGACAGGGCATCATCTGGAGGATCCATGGGTGTGGCCTCCCTCGTACATTACTACTTGTTTCAAAACTGGAACGTGAGACAACTACCCACGTGGTCCGTTGTCTTAATGATGAAACTGGGCTGTATAGGCACACATTTGTTGCACCTCTTCCCAGTAGAAGAGCCAGCTCTGTATGTAGTTTTCAGTTCAAAATAAATTTTTGAACTATAGATTATTCTAGAGATACTGGGATAAAATAAATTTTTTTTATTTTATATTTTTTTGTCTAAGAAAGCCTGGAATATTTGGTTGCTGCAGCTATTGATCAGCTGATCTGTGTCCTGATTGGTTCCTGTAGGAAGAGAAAGAAGTCTTGTTTGATTTATTCCTGGCATTTTCCCAGACTCACAGATGTCTTTCCAAGGGTAATAGATTAGTTACTTAAGATTCTTAGAAACTCTTGGATTACCCATGACCAGCATTTTGTTAGGAGACTCCTTCTAGGGCTAGTATTGAATGCCTGGGTCTTAACAGCATCTTTTTGCACCCCCACCCCCTACCTTCAGCAGAGGGGAGACCTGGCTCCTGGTGGCCTGCTGCGGCCGGAGCTGCAGGGTCTGTGCCAGGTTCAGGGAAGGCAGCTGCTCCTCAGGTACGAGGTGTTCTGACATCCAACCACACTGGATGTTCCCTCACAAGGACTGCTGGGAAGCGCAGTGGCCATCTTACAGGCTCATTGTCATCTCTGCCTGTCTGTGGTTGTCGCGAGGCCTGGGTCAGGCTGCGCTCCCTCGTTCACTGAGGACTTTGCATCTGCCTTGCCTCACCTTCTCTGAGTCTCTCTGGCTGTCCTCAGCAGTGTCCATATCCTTTGGAGAACCTGGCCCTGTGCTCTCATGCCCTGTCACCACTGTACCCCCCCAGGCGCCCCCCTCCCCGTCCCCACGGTCACACTTGCAGCTTTGCAGCAGCCTCATGTCCTCCCTGCCTTGCTCCTCTCTCTCTGTCCCTGTCACCTAACCCTCACCTTCTCCGGCAGCCTTTGCAGTCTCTAGCTTAGCTGATCAGGAAAGGACGTGTTGCTGTGGCATTGGTAGCCCACAGCTCATGTGCTAAGTGCAGAAGCTTCTCTGCAGGAGAGCAGAGCTCCCTCGTCCTCTGTCGGGCTCCAGTTGGAGGACTTGCTGGTATCAGGTGCCAGAAGGTTTGTCCACACTCCCTGGTGTTACTGGACTTAGTGGTGGTGGTCTTGTAGTCAGGACAAAGCAAGAAGTTTCCTTGGAGGTCTTCAGTGTTCTCTAGCGCTGGCCAGAGAAAAGTCACTTTTTTCCAATTTGTGAAATGTGGTCATTCTTGGTGTTTGGCTGTGTTTTGAGCAGGGTTTCTGTGCAGTGCTGTCCCTGGAACTCTGGGCTGTGTTCCCTGCTGATGTGTGTGTGGCTGCTGACTGCCTGGTCTTCTGTCCAGTGCAGCTGTTAGTGTGTTCCTGGTTCTCACAGGGAGCTTTGAACAAATGCTGGTGCCACGTTCCCCCTCCAGACCAGTTAAGTCTAAGCCATGGGTTAGGGGCCAGGCATCAGTATTTTTAAAGGAAAGAATTTTAAAGTGTTCCCCGCTAATTCTGGTGAGGACCAGTGTGTGGTAGAGGAGAGGGTTGAGAATGCCAGCCTGAAGTGCAGGTGTACCGCCTCGGCCTCTGGTGTCACCACAGTGTGGCTGCAGAGGGGCTTGCTGAGCGGAGGATCCTGGTTGCAGGTCTGGCTGGGGCCTGAGAGCCTGCCCTCTGGCGCCACAGGTGCTGCTGGCCTGTGCAGGAGTTGGCACCTACCTGCATGGATACTGAAAACAGTCTAGTTGAATGTGATCGCTTTTAAGGCAATAAGTAAAAAGTCCATAAAGGAGGGTCAGTTTAAGTTTATCTTTAAATACATGTGGGTTTTCATATGTTAAGTTTGCTTTTATTGAGGTACACTGTGTCTTTTTTTGGGTAAATTGTTGCTGGGAAACCCTACCATGTTAGTTACAGCAGCCCTGACAGACAAGGGCAAGAAGCTTTTGATGAGATTTATTTGAAAATACAGCCTCTTGGCTCCTCTTTGCTGTTGGAAGGAATACTGCTATTTTTCCTCCCTGACTCATTAGCTGGAATGTACATTTGGCATCGTGAAGGCCATGGTGCTGCCAGAGGTCAGACACCTCAATAGCCTGGGATCCTGTGGTCATGCAGAATGTGAGGTCAAGGCCCTCTGGGAAAGGGCCAGCCCTGATCTGTCTTCGACACCTAGACGTGCAAGACCTTGACAGGAGCAGTTCCAGCCTGGGCACGTCATCTCTCATAGCTGGCCAGCCTACTGTGGTTAATTTCCACCCCCGAGTCTCATAGAAATTATAATTTTATTTAGCATCTGTGTGCAAACACTGTACTAGACACCTTAATGCTATCTTGTTTAGTCCTCACAACAATCTTATGAAGTAAGCATTTGCACCCTGTTTTTAGCAATGAGGAAACTGGAATTCAGAAATATCACAATGCTCCAGAGTAACACAAGTGGGATTTTAATACTGGTCCCTCCAACTCCACACTCAGTGTTCTCCTGTCACACTGCTGCCACTGTTAATGAACATTTTTGCATTTAAAAAAAAAAATTCACCTTTAACTTATTAAGATATGTTTTAGCAGTTTTCTTTAAGATTTTTATCAGAGAGGCCACTAGTTACTATATCATAACTTTGAGGGAAAATGGTTGGCTGTTCCCATTTTGTGAAAAACAGTGGTTTAAATTTCAGAACTTTGCTGGCTGTGAAATTCAGTGGTGAACTCTAAGAGTTCAGAAGCATGTGGCCGAATGCCTGGCCTTGGAAGCTGGAGACTGAATGAGGAAAGAGCTGACTCGAGTTTCTGGAGCACACGTGCTGGGTCACTGGTGTCTTTTCTGGTCTCTCAAATAGGTTGATGGGTCTGGTTATATTTATATCCAAAAAAGGCAGCAAAAAAACACAAACACACAAAAAACCTTGACTAGTGGTCATAAGGGGTTTGCTTTTTGATAGTTTTCATTTTGAAGCGGTTCCGCTTCACAGGACATTGCAAATCCAGTATAGAGGGGCCTTAGGCGCCCTTTCCCCATGTCCCTAGTTGCTGCACCTTGTGTAATTTTATTAGGGTTCTCTAGAGGATCAGAATCTTCAGGAGGTATGATTATAAAAAGGGAACTTATTAGGTTGGCTTACACAACCAAAAGCTGGATAGTCCACAGTGGTCGTCTACAGGCTGGAGAGCTGGAAGAACTAGTAGCTGTGCATCCAAGATGCTGATACCTCAGAACAAGAGGGAAATCAACAATGCTATCCAAGTCTGAGACGGAAGGCTTCTGGTAACTTCTTGGAGAATCACTGGCAGAGTTCACTTTGGAAGAGTGAAGGAGCGAGAGTCTGATATCCTTAGGAGATCGCAGAAGCAATGATTCGCAGCAGCAATCAAGAGCCTGTTCAGGAAGAATCAGCTTGCTCCTTCCTTGTTCTTCCAACTTTTATTCCATACAAGCCAGCATTGTATTGGATGGGGCTGCCCACTTCAATTTGCTATCCCTCATGCCAGTCATTTCTAGACACCCTCACTGACACACCCAGAAGCATCGACCTTCTGCATGTCTCCATCCAATCAACTTGACCATTCAAATCAACCATTAAAATAATGGTGGTAGGCTAGAACCAGGTAGCGGGCATTGATGCAGCCTGGGTGTATAGCCCTCTGGAGACTGAGTGGGGACTGTATCCACTGTCTCAGCCAAGGTTCTGAACTGTCCTCACCCCAAGATGTCTCCCTCTCACTACCTCTGATTGTAGTCATGCATCCCTCCGTCACCTACCCTAACCTCAGGTACCCACTGCTGCCAGCAGAATTGACTAATCAGAAATAGAGCCTCACATGCGTCAACCTCTGCTCTCACAGCTTGGACCTGAATATGCTCAGTTGGCTGTGGTTAGTGAAGGGGTCAAGAGTGATTGTGCTCTCAGTGACCTGCCTCCTCTGCCTGTCCATTCCTACATCTTTTTCTGCCTTCTGTCTTTCGGGTCTCTAGAGAACTTGTTGTAGAACTCAGATCATGTGACATTGTTCAAGTCTGGGCATGTCAATTAAGCTGTTTACTTTAATAAGTTCAGGAACATTCCACACTATAAAGTGATGTGCATATCCAGGATGCACACTGGTCGTCTGCACTGTGTTGATGTGGGAGACTTCTCTGGGCTGTGTCTCAGGGTACCTTTATCACAGGGAGCAAGGAGACCTTTAAATGTCATGCAGGATTGGTTTGTTTGTGGGCAAACAAACAAGTTTGTATGGGTATATAGGGTTTGGAGCAAGTTTGTATAGGTATATAGGGTTTGGAGCTTTCACTGGGTTTTTAAAGGAATCCTTGATCCCAAATGAAGCTTCAAATCTAGGACTGCGTAAAAATGTCACTTATGCATTCCTGCACCTGAATGAAACCACTTCAAACATAAATTCTCTGCATTAGAATTTATAAACTAGGCCAGGCCAAGAATCTGATCTTAA